AAATTTATGTGGCGGCGTACAAACCTATACACCTACCTATACCTGAATGTGTGTGTGTGTATATATATATAAATGTGTGTGGTTCGCTTCTATGTATGTATATATACATGTATGAATATGTGTTTGTGCTGGAGCACTATCACACATCCGTCTTGTGTGTATATACTAGACCTCATGTAATGGTAATTCTTTGCCAGTTTGTATAATTATTAATATATAATCTATCTATCTATCTATCTATCTATCTATCTATCTATCTATCTATCTATCTATCTATCTTAGTCTATTCATATTTATTAGTCAGCTTACGCCACCACCCATATCTCTGCATGTATATAACCATCTTCTTAGTTGCACACACGCACGCACGCACGCACACACACGCACAAATCTATCTATCTATATATATATATATATATATATATATATATATATATATATATATATATATATAAAAGGCTTAAACACTAATATTCCATAGTCATAATTTATTCCATTGGAATCGTAAATACGATCAATTCATCAAACCTACAAATTCAAAAAGAAAACAGAAAAATCAACTCCGGAAATAAAAACAGAATTTAGAGAGAGTGTAAGTATGAGGAGGAGGGAGATTAAACCTTAACCTTTTTTTTATATATTTTGCATATGTATGTATATTTACCACTAATATTATCTATCTATCTATCTATCTATCTATCTATCTATCTATATATATATATATATATATATATATAGGATGCGATGGATTAAGTTTCGTCTAAATTACGTGAAAATGAAAGTAACACTGACATCTCAGTTTAGCAGATATATTTACCAAAATTACACAAAAATATCTTGTAATACAAAAGAGTAAATTGTTCTATAAAATTGCCATTTGCGTCAAACACTGCCTCCAGAATACTTTAGAATCTCCTGCAACTCTTCTAGACGGTTTCCTTGTTAAGTGAATGCTGCTATAACCCATGCCTTCAGTTCATCTTTGATGTTATAAGGAGTTTTGTTGGTCTATCGCTCAACTTCCTTCCACACATAATAGTCAAGGGGGTTGCAGTTTTAGGAGTTAGGTGACCAGATGTAAGACTTGATGTGGCCGCTGAAATTGTCTGACAGCCATAACTGGGTTCTCCTGCTTGTGTGCCATTGTGAAGCGTCCGCTGCCAGAGATAGAGTCTTCTGCCAGCCACACCTTTGACCCAGGACAACACTACCT